CTGATCCTCTCGGATCACTCCTTCACCTCTCGTGTCACTTTCTCTCTCCACCTGTGTGTTCCTCTGGCGTCGGGACCTCTCTCCTTCCTTCTCTCTCATTGTCTCCTTTAGCATCATCCCTCCCTGATCTCCCTCCTCCTTCTCTCTCTCCCTCCGTCGTTGTCTCTGATCCTGTCTCTCTCTCTCCTCCTCCGTCTGAACCCGATAGTGTGGCTCTCTCCTCCGTGGAGACATTGGCCGCTCCTCCTTTTCTCTCTCTCTCCTTCCATCACCCTCTCCTCTCCCTCCCTTTCTCTCTCTCTCCCCTCCATCCATCACCCTCTCTCCCTCCCTTTCTCTCTCTCTCTCCCTCCATCCATTTCTCTCTCTCCTCCTCCTTTCTCTCTCTCCCTCCATCACCCTCCTCCTCCTCCTTTCTCTCTCTCCCTCCATCACCCTCTCTCTCCTCCCCCTTCTCTCTCTCCTCCATCCATCACCCTCTCTCCCTCCCTCTCTCCTCCTTTTCTCTCTCTCTCCATCCATCACCCTCTCTCTCTCTCCTCCTCTCTCTCTCTCTCTCTCCTCCATCTCATCTCTCCCTCCCTTCTCTCTCTCTCTCTCCTCCTCCATCACCCTCTCTCCCTTCCCTTTCTCTCTCTCCCTCCATCACCCTCTCTCTCCCTCCCTTTCTCTCTTTCCCCTAACCATCTCCTCTCTCTCCCTCCCTTTCTCTCTCTCTCTCTCCATCCCCCTCTCTCTCTCTCCATCTCCCTCCATCCCTCTCTGGGGCAGGGGTAGCCTAGTGTTTAAAGCGTTGGCTCGTCACGCCGAAGACCCGGGTTCGAATCCCCACATGGGTACAATGTGTGAAGCCCTTTTCTGGTGTCCCCCGCCGTGATGATGCTGGAATATTGCCAAACTCAGTCAGTCAGTCAGTCCATCCCTCTCTGTGTCTCTCTCCTCCCTCTTTCCCCCTCTCTCTATCTCTCTCTCTCTTTCTCTCTCTGAAGCGGCGGGGTGGCTAAGTGGTCAAAGCGAAGGCCCGGGTTCGATTCCCTGCATGGACATAATGAGTGGAGTCATATTGTTTGAATATTGCTAAGAATGGCGTAAACTCCAACTCCAACCTACTCCAGTACCTACCACTGTCCGCCATATCTCCGTCTTCAGTTGCTGCGAGTAGCTTCCTCCAACACCATCCTGCCAAACATGCAGTGGTTGCTGTTTCTCTTGTGAGGCGCTTGTGCTTGAAACAAAGACGTAGTAGTAGTAGTAGTAGTGGTGGTAGTAGTAGTAGTAGTAGTAGCAGTGAGTGGTAGTGGTGGTGGTAGTAGTTGGTAGTAGTTAGTAGTGGTAGTAGTGGTAGTGGTAGTGGTAGGTGTAGTGATGGTAATGGTAGTAGTGGTAGTAGTAGTGGTAGTGGTAGTAGTGGTGGTAGTAGTGAGTGGTGAGTAGTAGTGGTGTAGTAGTAGTAGTGGCTTGTGGCAGTGGCAGTGGCAGTAGTGGTAGTAGTAGTGGTAGTGGCGGTAGTGTGTAGTGGTGGTGGTGGTAGTAGTAGTGGTGTGGTAGTGGTGGTTGTGTGGTGGTGGTGGTGGTGGTGGTAGTGGTGGTGGTGGTGGTAGTGGTGGTAGTGGTAGTAGTGGTGGTGGTAGTAGTAGTGAGTAGTTGTGGTGTGTAGTGGTAGAGTAGTGGTGGCAGTATGAGTGGTGGTAGTGGTGGTAGTGGCAGCAGTGGTAGTGGTAGTGGTAGTGGTGGTAGTAGTAGTAGTGGCAGTGGTAGTAGTAGTGGTGGTGGTAGTGGTAGTGGTGGTAGTGGTGGTGAGTAGTGAGTGGTAGTGGTAGTGGTGGTGGTAGTGGTGTAGTGGTAGTAGTGGTAGTAGTAGTGGTAGTAGTGGTAGTAGTGGTGGTGGTGGTGGTGGTAGTGGTAGTGAGTGGTTGTGGTAGTTAGTGAGTAGTGGTAGTAGTAGTGAGTGGTAGTGATTAGTAGTAGTGGTAGTAGTAGTAGTGGTAGTAGTGGTGGTGGTAGTGGTGAGTAGTTAGTGGTAGTAGTAGTAGTAGTAGTGGTAGTAGTAGTAGTGGTAGTAGTAGTAGTTAGTAGTAGTAGTAGTAGTAGTGAGTAGTAGTAGTAGTAGTAGTGGTAGTAGTAGTAGTAGTAGTAGTAGTAGTAGTAGTAGTAGTAGTAGTAGTAGTAGTAGTAGTAGTAGTAGTAGTAATATTTTCTTTGCTTGTCGTTTAGCGTCGCACTCAGGGATATTCCAGCTAATATCCTTGTAAATAACCGAGTCTGGGACAGACAATCCAGTGATCAACAGCATGAGGATCGATCTACGCATTTGGTATACGATGACATGTGTCAACCAAGTCAGCGAGCCTGACCACCGATCCCGTTAGTCGCCTCTTACGTCAAGCATGGGCTGCTGAAGATTAATTCTAACCGGGTAAACCCGGATCTTTACGGGTAGTGAGGTGAGGTGAAATTGGGTATAACGTCATGCTTGAGAATATTTCGCTCATAAGAAGACGGGCATGCGTGTTTATGTGTGTGTGCGGCTGCTTGTACTAGCCCAGACTTAAGCTGGTTTTATGGTGCTAGCCCACTGAGATACCATGCCGCAGTGAAGCATGAATACCCCACTCAGACACATTATACTGACTCCGAGCCGACCAGTCCTTGTTGTACCCATCACTAGTACTAGTAGTAGTAGTAACAGCAGTAGCATTAGCAGTAGGAGTAGGTCTATAAAACATCTAGCTACAAACATTGCTCTTAAATTTCATTGTGTGCTTTGTATCATCATCATCATCATCATCATCATCATCATCATCATCATCATCATCATCATCATCATCATCAGTGAAATATATGACTACTGTCTTCGCTCAACTAAATTCAGAGTATGTTGTTTCGACGGCAGCCAAATATGGACACATTTTAATATATTTCTTGAAGGGGACATGCCATGTTTCCATTGACTGTTCTAATTTGACATTCCAAGTGCAATCACAATGTAGAAGTATCTAACATTATATCTGGAAATTTCAACATGACATTGTCAATTTCGAAATTACTATTGTACAAGGTGTGCTTCACTGATTGCCTGATAACGCGGAGTTCCACTGAGTCACAGATTTCATATTAAACATATAGCACGTCAAGTGATTTTGTTCTATCCACATCCAGCTATACTGTGGCAGCATAAATAGTCAACTTGAATTGTTAGAGACGTGAGGTGATTTTAAAATAAATCCACATCCAGGTGTGAAAGTAAACGATTGCCATTCAAGCCGGCAGTTTATGCCCGAATGCATGCATGCATACAGCTCAATTTCAATGTTGTGTTTGTGCGAACTCTTCCCTTTCCACACACAAAAACATTATCAAACCTCAATCTCAAACAATACTTTATTGGGCAGAAGAGGCCATACGACCACGATTCATGTTTTCCTC